GGGAAAGGGCATCCCCTGTACTCCCAGGGAAGGCTTCTGACTCACTGTCCCAGCCAGCAGCAGCTTATTTAGACCCTCACCTTTCAGTTGCCTACAATATCAGTTCCATCCTGTATCCAAGACCTAGAGGGCCAGGGGTACAAGTGACCATTGGGCATAGATTCAGACCTGCAGACCCATCCACCCAGGACAATCTCTCCCTTTTTTTTTTCTCCTTATCTAGTCTCTGGCTGTGGTAAGCTGTTGCCTGCCCTGCCCTATGCTGTTCCTTGGGCACACTGCTGTCACCCACACACACCTGATTAGGGGAATCGAGTGACTTACAGGGGCTTCTCTTCCCTAGGGTCGGAATTTGCATAGGGTGATGGATGCTAAGATGTCTTCTGAACACAGCTGTACTTTGCATATTAAACAAAGCAATTGCCAGGGGAAGCTGGAGGAGCTTGGTCTCCTTCCAGGAAGGTTTCCTCAGAGTCCAAGTCCCTCCCTTCCAGCCAACACTTTCCCCACCGGGGTCCCTCTCATCTAGTAGCCTCCTACCCCTCCCCCATTGCAGGGACACAGGCCCCTGACCAGGGCCAGGCCAGGGTAATCCAGCTTTCCTCTGTACCTAATGCGAAGATGCCCTCCCCAGTCCCCACCTCACTGGAGCCCAGGGACTAGAAAAGCAGGGGAGTCTTAGCTAGTGCCAGCTCCCAAGAGACCCGGCTCAAGGATCGCAAAATCTCTGCCATCTCCACCCCCATGGCGCACGCCCAGGGCTGCCCTCTTGATCTGTCTGGGATGTCTGGAGACATGTGCTCCTGTCTGACCACTGAGCTTGGACATTGCATGGTTGAGATCACTTTTGCTTTGAATGAATCTAAGCTCCCCCCCCCACCTCCAGAACTCGGGAGGCAGAGCCAGGTGGTTCTCTGTGAGTTCGAGGCCAGCCTGGGCTACCAAGTGAGCTCCAGGAAAGGCGCAAAGCTACACAGAGAAACCCTGTCTCGAAAAAAACCAAAAAAAAAAAAAAAAAAAAAGATGAACAACAATAAGTAAATAAATAAATAAATAAATAAAGTTGAAAGTCTTGATATCTTTGCCCCCATGAATGTGGGCTGAAGGTCACAACAGGGTTTGAACTTAGTTACTCCCATGGGGCATGGCTTAGGGTAGTCACTTAACCGTCAAACTAGTATAGCAATGTCTCCTCTGGTGGCCCCCACTGGTACACACAGGCTGTGTGGCACCTAGGGGTCCTCCAAGAAATGTTTAGAACCCTTCCCAGACACGCTTGTCCTCACGGATATGCCTAGGAGCTAGCCCTGGCAGGGTGTGAGCGGATACCTGTGGCTAGGGATGGCTTCTGTGGCTCCATCATAACCAAGGAAGACGTGAAGACGGAGCGATTTGTTGAGTGGCCGTTATACCTCAATCCTTCAGTGACTAGCCAGATTTAGGATATGGGGGTTCAAGGGAGAGACTTGGTTCAGACTTGCACAATTCTGAGTGTGAAACTGTTCTCTGTAACCTTAAGGTTGCTGAAATCTTGTTCCCTATAAAGTAAAGGCTGTGGTGGCCGCATCAAACGCATGTGTGGGATCCAGTGAGAATCCAGTCAACATCGGTCATGCGTGGCTGTGCCCAGTGTGAGGCTCCATCCCACAGGAGTAAGGGGAGAAGGTATGCTGGCCCCTGGGACCCTGCCATCCTTGAACCAAAGGTTCCTGTAACCAGTGGTAGATCTGACCCATCCCTCCAAGCTCCGGAACTTGCCAATGTTTGCCGCTGTTCTTCCCACACTGCTGGACAGCCTCAAGGCTGACAAAGCCAGGACTCCTACAATATGTGGTCTTCTCTCTTTTCCATTCACTCTCTGCCATCAATCATTGAGCTGGTTCAGTGGGCAAAGGCGCTTGCCGCCCGATGATGAACACCTCATGACCTGAGTTCAATCCCCATAGTCTATATGATGGTGGGAGGGGAGAGGTAATTCCATAAGGTTGCCTTCTGATCTCCATGTGCACGCCATAGCATGCACACCCACACCCACATCTCACACCCGCACCCAAAATAATAATAATAATAATAATAATACAATTTTAAAAAATGAAGCTGGATACAGTAGCACACACCTTTCATCCCAGCACTGGGGAGGCAGAGGCAGGTGGATCTCTATGAGTTCATGGTTAGCCAGCCTGGTTTATATAGTGAGTTCCAGGACAGCCAGGGCTCTGTAGAGAGACCCTGTCTCAATAAAATAAAATAAAAAAGAAATTAAAGGAAATGAAAGTCAATTATAAAAAACAGAGTCTAGAGAGCTTCCCGGCACTCACACTGTTCCTGAGTCACAGCTCTGATTTTCCCAGGAAAGATCTTTACTAGAAGACACCTTTGGGCTTATTTTTCTTGTTGGTAAATAATGATACACAAGGTGGCCACTGAGTCCTTACTTCTCTACAAAGCAGGGTTCAGAAGAGGAATTACCTTTATCACGGTCCTCTTGTAGCCAATGCAGACATGTTCCTCAATACTGTTTTTCTACACACACACACACACACACACACACACACACTCACTCACATACACCCCTATGGTAAAGGTACAAGTGGTACTAATGAATACAGCGATCATAACAATATGATGCAATAAAAGTTGTTTAAAATCAGGTGCATGCCTTTAGTCCCAGCACTTGGGAGGCAGGTGGACCTCTGAGTTCCAGGCTGGCCTGAGAAACCCTGTCTTCAAAACACACACACACACACACACACACACACACACACACACACACACGCACGCACGCACGCACGCACGCACGCACATTTATTTAAAGCTTGCAAGCTA